GAGATACGGTGGGAGGATAACATAAAGTATCTGGAAGTCACATTTGACAAACAGCTCAATTGGTATAAACGTATGAAAGGCAAATGGAAAAGCTGTTCTAAAATTTTACATCCTCTAAAGCCGCTATTTAATAATAATCACTTTAACCTCAGAAATAGAAAGTTATAGTAACTTTATATATAATAGTAATAATAGTAACATAATAATTTGGCCATCATTACTGTACATGCACACAGATCCAAGGATCGAATCAATAAAAAAAATATATCAAGGACAGAGCCCTAAAATTATTTACAAAAGTTGATATGCTGCGCAACCCTGCCCTAACAAACCTCAAGTCCACCTCAGAACCCACAGGAAGATATGCTGACCTACGATCCGGCATCAGTTAAACGATGTATAAACAATATGAGTTCCAGTATAGTTAAAGCGTTATGTGGGGCAGGGATAAGCTCCCAACCCCCAAAAAAGAGTATGATGAGATATTTTTTTAAAGTCATTATCGTTTTAATGATGTTAATTTCACTTTTTACTTCACTGCATGGAATTTTCCCCAATAAACCTATACATATCTTTACAACTACATTGGGTACTTTTTTAAGATTCATCAGAATCGAGAAAAAAAACTATTCATTAATAACTAGATTTACTAGATTATTAGATTATTATTTAGAACTAGATTATTAGATAACGAGATTTAAGATTAAGCAATCTTAGTCATTTAAGTAAGCTGCGTATATCATAAACCAATGCAGGTAAGACAAAATGTGACCTAAAAAATTAGATCCAGGGTGTCTATGCTGTCACCTGAAAAAAATTGTCGCTCACATTCTTGACATCTTTCGAATATTTTTTGTATAAATATGAGATTACCGATATTTTAGTTAAGTATTTAAGTGCCAATTTCATAGTGATAACTTAAGTCTCAAATTGACTTAACTTTTTATCTCAATTATCAGATTAGTACTTCATTCAATTTAGTTGTTAATTGCAAACAAAATAATTCTAAAAAAAATAATCTTAAATGTTTTCAATCTAATCTAATCAGAGTGTCCAGAAAAAACCAAAATCACAATCACAAATCACCAATCACAAATTTAAGTAGAACATCTCAGCTTAGAACTTGTAATGATCAATTTTTGAAGTAAAAAATAAAATTGATCTTACAGTGATGATTCTTTTTTTTTAAAAATAATTTAAAAAAAAAATAATAAATAAAAAAAAATCACTGACATCCAAACACGCTTATAAAAAATTATAACAAAAAAAACC